AGCTAATGGACTGAATATGCGGTGCGTTTTTAGTGTCTTGTTTTTTTATATAGTTTCATTTGCACATATGATTGTTTCTTTGATTTGATAGAAACCGATGCATGATCTTTCTTCATGGCAGTAACATGCAAGTTCTTTATTTTGTTTGATGCATGATATGAATGGGCCGGCGTTGCTGTGGCCAAAACACATGTAGATTTGTTTAGATATGGAGCCGATTCGCGTCCATATCAAATTTACCATGAACCGGGTGGAGCCAAAGCGCGTCCACCAATTTTGTACCATGAACCTTTAACCGGGTTGGAGCCAAGATCGCGTCCAACCGAAAGTTCACCATGAACGTAACCGGGGTGGAGCCAAAACGCATCCAAACCCGCATTTCACCGAGGCATATTTGCTGCCTTTTTACACCTTCACCGGGGCATATTGCCCATGCGCAAAGCGCGGTCATGGCACTGTTGGCCGATCTTTTACCAGGGCTTGCAGCCCATGCGCGTAGCGCAACCATCACCATTTCTTTTACCTTTTACGGGGGTAAGACCTACGTGCACTGCCCATCCGCAATGACATAGGCCAGCCGCCATCGATGCCGACGAGTTGCTAATGAAGCTCGTGGGACGATTAGTCAAGACGAAGAAGGAGGTAGGGACTAGAGAGGCGCCATGCAGCCTCTCACCTTCTTCTCTTGGAACCCGACAAACAGAACCAGCAGCTTTTGCTGGTAGGTGTTGCAGCTTGGTGGCGATGCTTCCGGTGGCCTTCCGCTTGGAACGGTGAGCGGCGCTTGGAGCGGTGAGCAGTGCGGTGCTGCGGCAGCCTAACGACAGTTTGTTTCAGGGGGGCTATGGAGCGGCAGCCTGGAGGCACTACGATCATGGAGCAGGGGGGGGAGGCCCTCTACCGCTGGCCGTGCATAGTGTATTTATATGCCAGGGGTAGAGATGCAGTTGCCAGGAGATTTGGCGCTCCTTTGTTTTAATTTTCCTTTTGCTAATGACGCCGGCGCGGGAGTTTGAATTGTGACCGCGCGAGTTCATGAGAACGTGCAGTACGTACGTGGAGGACTCTTGAAACGGTGATTGGACTTAGTCATGCTAATTTGAATTTGAGTGGAAGCGCCATGGCTTTGAATTGCCGCGCGAATGCTTAATCGGTTATTCTAGAGGCAAATACATTCTCTTTGCCTTGCTGGCTGGAGTGTCGGTCATCCACTATTTTTCTATTATCAATACTGCCATTCAGTAATCAAAGGCATCCATTTGCAAGCACATGCCAAGAAGCTGACATATCCGTGCCTCAGCTCCTTCTCTTTTTTTTCATCACTACTTATCTCCCTCTTTTTTTAATACATATATCACCACATCACTTTTACATGGTAGATTATGCCGTCAGAAAATATATTATATCATACTAATTCTATTTCCTTTTCAGACATATTATTTCACTATTATGTACACCATACCATATTTAAATGGAATTTGACCATCTATATTATTTTATTTAGTATGGTATAAATATTCTCACACATTTTGGATAGATCCAAAATTGGTGTCAACAGTGCTCTCTCTGGCTGCACGCTGACCCTTGTTATCTCATCGTAGGGGTCATCATCGTCGCTCTCTCCTTCATCTATTGGAATGCTCGATAGCGAAGGATGCACACTGATTTTGGTGGACCTGTGAAGCCATTCCAGGTACTGATGGTACTCACTGGCCACAGACCAAGCCCCATTAGTTGGATAAACCCTCTCTCGGTATCGAGGGTACCTCCACATGGACAGCCTTCAATTGCCTAAGTTCGAGGTCATTGAACTCCATTCTCAGTGACCCGTTAGCTGGAACTCCTAATGACTCCGTAAACCCTACCTCACAGGAATCACTTTCATCCTCTATACTAGGCTCCGACCTATAGTCGTCCTCCAACATATCATCCGAAGTACTTGGCCTAGAAGTATAGTCATCTTCGTCCGCTGAGGGAACATCAAGTTCATCATCCTCCGATCCTTGGGATATGTCATCCATATCATTTGTCCCATCTCCATTGCCATTGTCCTCCACAAACGTTTGTACATCGAAGTCATCATTCAAGGCACCGAGGTCAAATGACCTATCAACTTCCCTAACAATGACTGCCTGCAACGCTTCATCTTGGGTAATGTTCTCTACGGGCTCCACATCCACATTATCATCCACAGCCGCCTCCAATGGGCTACACCCGTTGTCGACAACAACTTCCAGGCACCTAACACTGCTAGTCTTGACAACTTCTTTGTAATCCTTCCATTCATTCTCACATGACAAAGCCATTAACACATAGTGTGCTCGTTCCTTCCCACAGTCAAATCGACCTCTCAAACTTAATGGCCACCCAAATTTCTCCCGGCAATGGCTAACCAAACCATCAAAGCTAGGAGGTGTACTAAAGAAATGAACTTGATCATGCATGCTTTGGAACTCCCCATTTCCTCTAACTTTGCCACCATGAAACAATCGTACTAACCGATCCATCTACAAAGCATGAACCAACACATCAACACCAACAACAACTACACATTTCGAAAAGCAATAACTTATCTAAATCCTTCATGCATCAACTACCTAGGCTCATGCAACACGTACTTTACGTCCAATCCACAGGCAGAGTATATCATAAACCTAATTTACGCATCAAATACTAACAACGGACGCAAAAATAAACCACTAATAACATACCAAATTTCGTAACCCTAGTCATGCAACTAAGAGGCCAAAACATCAAGAAATGGAGGGAGACAACTAGTACCTGGCAGTGTAGGACGGTAGCCAGAGCAAGCTACTCCAATACCCCGGGGGGGGGGTCCAGGCGTCGGCGCGGGGAGGCGGGGAGGAGGCGGCGGTGCCTCCCTCTCAGACCCGCCCTGGATGGCAATGCAGAGGGCCGGTCCTCCAAGCTGCTCAACTCACACGCGGCGGGGACAACAGGGGCAGCGGCGTGCGCAGGAGGAGCGGCGGAGGCGGCGGCAGCGCCGAGTTCACCCAGACCGCGTCGGTGTTCACGGGAAAGGAAAGGAGAAAGAAAGAGAGGAAGAAAGTGGGCCGGGCCTTCTAAACCTAATTGGCCTGTCGCGCCAGCCCACCTGCGATAGAGTTGGTCCCATTATCCGCCACGCCACCTCCAGTCAACGGTCGCCGCCCCTTTGTCGTGCCATCCCGCCAGGCGCGACAAGTCTGCCGTGCCGGAGTCAATGGCGCGACAGGGTGGGACCCACCCTTGCCACAGCATGGGTCGTTGGTCGACGCCACGGTGGCAGCCCTTGTCGCGCCACATGCACTGGCATGACAGAGACAGAGTGGTTTGGTCGCGCCATCCGCGTTGGCGCGATCAAAGGGGCTACATCTGCTTAATGTTCTTGGGAGTGGTTATTATTAAATCATTTATTTAAAAAGGATTAAAAATTAAAAAAAAAATCGCCGGGCGCCCCCGCGGAGCCCCTAGATCCGGTCAGACCCCACCGGGGGCTCTCTCCAGTCCAACGTTTTCCATATCCGCATCAGCTGCGGGGCCGACGCCCTCCCCAGTCCCCATCAGAATCCCACTAGCAGCTCTCTCCTGTCTGGCGTCCTCCGCTCCGGTGGCTGTTGCCGGGCCGATGCCTCCCTCGGTGCCGGACGTGCGAGCGCCAAATGTGGACCAGGATGGCGGCCACCTCCCCTCCCCCACCCACCTCAGCCTGCAGGAAGGCTCACCGGCGCCGGCAGCCACCCCCTCAACCCCTTCCGGTCTCCCTGCAGGTAGAGGTTCATCCTCCCCCTCTCCCACCTTGCCACCCCCTTCTTCCCAGGATGCCAATCGATGGGCAGATCCAAGCTTCAGCACTAGGAAGCAAATCTCCTTTTCTGGTGACTCCGACTCCGACTCCGACAGTCCGACTGCTCAGCGCCCTCCTCATACCTCGGCGCTGCCCGCCGGGCCACCTCGGTCGAGGTCTCTCCTGCAGCGGCGGTGGCGCCACAACGCACAATGCACACCGTCGTGGCACAGGGGTCGAGATGACGACATGGGCGAGGTCGAGCAACGGCGGCGCGACCCGACGAGACAGTGACGTGAGCGAGACAGAGGTGAGGCTGTGCGACATCAATGAGAAGGCGGAGGGAGGTGGGGCCAGTATATCGTGCAAGTGGCGACGGGTCTAGGTGCGGTTTGGTGCCATGTGCGGTGGTGCTGGGGTCGGCGCATGCGGGTGCTGTCAGCAAAGGCAAACGGGTCGAGGGAGGAAAAAGTGGGGTACGGACCGGTGATGTTGTTCAGGCTGTTCGTTTGGCTGTGGCTTGTCGTATACGATCGTAAATTTTTAGGTGGAATAGTATTTTTTTCTCACACAAACCAGCCAGCAGTACTACTTCACGAACCAGCAACGATACAAACCAGCAACGACACATTGTGCAGCCTATGTGTTTGGGCAATGGGGTTTAGAGAGATGTGACTCGGATTTGAGGTGAATATGAGTTGAAAGGTAAAATAGGGTTCAAATGTTTTTAGTTTCTGAAATATATTTTGAAAATAGTTTTGAGTACGAGTGATTCTAAATTTGAATTTTTGAGATGTTTCACGTGACATGTGGGCCGCCAGTGGTACATAGAAAAATCATGTGACATGTGGGCCGCCACTGTTTCAAAATGTTAAAGTGTGCATATGTTATTTAGTATCAGTGTTGGGAAGGGTTTTCGAATCCAGCAACAAATCGAGATCAGGGGATAAAATGGAATTGTTTGTATTACTTGTCAGAAGAGTTGTTGAGGTACTCAGGAGTCAGGTCGACGACATTAGTCAATTGCAAGGACTCTGGTCTCCATGTCTGATGATTAGTATTATAATCCCAGCATCTGTTGCTGCCGAGTGCAGAAGAAAACAGCACGAGCTCCACTCTACTCCTTGTGTCAATACAGTGTATGCTCACTCTCCGTGCGAATAGTAATACAAGAAAGTAATAAGCAACTGACAACCGGCCGGCGACTGTAGAGATGCCGTCGGAAGCCGGCATTCAGGAGGAAGAGCCCAGGGAGTCATCGGAGTACAAGCTCCGGAAGCAGCTCCTGCTGCTGGCCGCGCTGGTGGTCAGCGTCACCTACGTGGCGGGGCTGAACCCACCAGGCGGGGTGTGGCAGCAGGACGGGCCTGCTCTTGCTCCTGCTCCAGCTCCGGCAGCTGCTGGCGGCGTCAGCATCACTGCCGGGGGACCTATCCTCCGGTTCACGCACCGCCGCAGGTTCCTGTCGTTCTACTACTGCAACTCCACGGCGCTGGCCGCGTCGCTCGTCGTCATCTTCCTCCTGCTGCTCAAGAACCCCAACAGGGTCCAGCTGGCCGTGCTGCGCCTGGTCATGGTGCTGGACCTGCTAGGCCTCATGGGGGCCTACCTCGCGGGCAGCTGCCGGGACAAGCCAGCCACCGTGTACGCCACATCGCTCGTGCTGGCGCTCTCCGCCTACGTAGGCGTACACATCCTGCAGGGCTTGTCACACGACAGCTCTCCATCTTTGCCGGCAGAGGAGGAGGACGGAGACGGAGGCGGCGGCGGCGGCGGCGCCGTGTCCTCGGTCCTTCTCAGGCCCAAGGAACAGCGCAAGGTCCTGTTGCTGCTCGCCACCTTCGCAACGGCCATCACCTATGTTGCCGGGCTCAACCTGCCAGGGGGCTTCTGGGACACGTTCGACGACGGCCGGCGGCGGGGTGGTGGCCACGGGCACCGCTACCTCCCTGGCGATTCACTCGTCGAGGCGCACCACGGGGGCCACCTGAGGATGTTCTTCTACTGCAACACCACCGCGTTCGTCGCGTCCCTCTTCATCATCGTGCTGCTGTTGCACCCAGACAAGAAGAATAAGCTCACCGCAAGCTCCACGCGGTCGTTCGCGCTGCACGTGTTCGTCATCGGCTCGCTCGTCGGTCTCATGGCGGCCTACGATGCCGGTAGCTGCAGAGACAGTGACTGCAGTGTCTATGTTGTCAGCCTGTTCGGTGCTGTTCTGGCATTCGTCTTCCTTACAATGCTGGTTATCATGTCGGTGAAGGGTCTCAGGTGTGTCCATCCTCGAAACCATGCTCCATCCCCGGCTCTGGCTCCAGCTCCAGCTATGGCAGCAGAATCGCCGTCTCCAACTGACTGTGATCATCGGTATGTGTTGTCTCGGTTTGTGTGTGAAAAATAGAAATAGTAATTAATAATTCTTTCCATCCCCTACTCGGATTAATTATATCTTGTACTGCTGTCGATCATGTTAAATTATAACCTAGCTAGTTACTAACTCTTGTCCATCTTGGGATAGTGTGCTGCCTAGTGCCGATGACGATGACGACCACGACAGCCAGTCAATGTCATCCCCACCGCCGCCGCCAGCAACATTGGCGCCAAATGGCCAAGCAGGCAGCGTTAGTAGCATTATTACTGGAGACGCGCCGACCGTCCAGCTCGAGAAGAAGGCAATAAAGAAGGTGAAGTCTCTCATCCTGCTGCTCGCCAATCTGGCAACGACCATTACATACCAGGCGGGGCTGGACCCGCCTGGTGGCTTCTGGCCAGAGGACGGCGAGGGCCACCGTGCCGGCGATGCCATACTCCTGTCGAAAGACCCGGCACGCTACAAAGCCTTCTTCTACTGCAACTCCACCGCCTTTGCGGTGTCTCTGGTCGTCATCCTCATGGTCCAGAAAGAGAAGCTGGTCAGGAGCCACACCTTGCTGGTGGCCATGACGCTGGACATGTTTGCCCTCATCGGCGCCTATGCCGCAGGGAGCTGCCGAGACCTCGGGACATCCGTTCATGTCGTGGCCCTGGCTGGGGCCATCCTCGTGTACGTGCTCGTACATGTCCTCCTCTTCACGCTGGGGTCGACTAACGTCGATGCCACAGTGCCTGAGAAGAAGCACAAGCGGCTACTGCTGGTAGCCATCTTGGTCGCCACCATCACCTACCAAGTTGGCCTGGCTCCACCGGGTGGGTTCTGGAACGAGGACGACAGCCGCCGCCACGCGGGGCACGCCGTCCTCCTGGACAAATTTCCGCGCCGCTTCAAGACCTTCTTCTACTCCAACACGGTGAGCTTCATGGCGTCTATCGCGCTCATCCTCCTCCTAGTCAACCCCATCCTCTCCCGCCTCGCCATACGGTGCTACGCTCTCTACGCGTGCCAGGTGGTCGGCCTGTTTGGCCTCATGGCCGCTTACGCCGCCGGGAGCGCTCGAAAACTGCGGACGTCCATCTTCGCGTGTGTGCTCATCGCCGCGGTGATTGCCTTCGTTCTTGTCAACACCGTCATGCTGACTTTTTTCAAGAAGAGGATGATGGCTCGGGCTGATGAGGCAGGCACTACTGCGGCACCGTCGTCGTCCATGGCTCAGCAACTACCAAGACATGCCCAGGAGACAGAGTACCGCGATGAAGTGTACGCCAAACGCAAGTACCTGATGCTGCTCGGAATCCTGGCCGCAAGTGTCACATACCAGGCCGGCCTAGCCCCCCCGGGCGGCCTTTGGCAGGACGACGGCGGCGCTGGTACCCACCGGCGACGCGAGGCTGGGAACCCGGTGCTGCACGACACCGACCCACGGCGCTACCACGTCTTCTTCTACAGCAACTCCACATCCTTCGTCGCGTCCATTGTCACCATTGCCCTGCTGCTGCAGCAGATCCTGCGGAGGCACCGCTCGACCAACCACGAGCTGCTCCTGCTAGCGACCAACACAGCCGTGGTCCTGGACCTGCTGGGCCTCCTGGTGGCCTACGCGGCTGGCAGCACCAGGGAGTGGGGGAATGTCGTCGTCTTGACCCTCCTGGTTTTGCTCTTCATGGCTATCCATGCCGTGGTATGGTTGTTCGGCCAGAGACGTCGCTGCGTCGCCGGAGATGACCGAGGAGCAAGTACTAGTAACGGTCGGATTGGAGAGCAACTAGAAAGTGGTCATCACCAGTCTTCCCGTGTCCAGGATCAGGTCGTTTAGCTTACTGTGCTAGCCATTCCAAATTATAGTAAGTCGTGTTGATTTTTTAGGTAACATAGTTTTTGCCATGTAGATAAAAACTATGTATGTAGAAAAATCATACTGACTTACAATTTGGAAGGTGGCAGTGGTAGTAGATTAGTATAACAATCACTTCAGTTTTTATGTGTGCTGGCAACCCAAGTGTCATGGGCACTATCAGCTCATTTAGGATACCTTTTATGATTTTATAATCGATTGATTGTTCTTGTTTTTCTGTGATATAACTATGAGCAAAATTACCGACCTCCTCCATCATGATATGCACACAGCATAAGAAAATGTTAAATTAATTCTCGCTACATAGAGGTTCAAGCTAAGAGGAAAAAAACATAGTTTAGAAATTAGCCTATTATGAATCCATTCTTCCCACACCCCGTTGCAACAATAATCATCGGCCCAAGTACAAAGCATCTGAAAATAACTAGCAGCATAGTATCATTTGTGTTTGCGGTAGACAGTGTAATATAAAACGAAGATAAACAGATATATACTGTCAAAACGAATCAGAAGCATATGATTTGTATATTTTCCTGTCCAGCCTGGACTATGTAAGTGAACCTGAAAGACCCCATTTAGGAATCCTAATTATAATGTTATCTCAAAGCTTAATATGTCCAATAGAAATCTCAAAGTATCCACTTCTTGTCTACATTTCTTGCAAAATTCACGCATTGATGACAGCCACAGTTTCCAGGCTTGTTAAAGCTTTGAGCCCAATGTAGTGTGGTGCCAGCATAGTTTTGGGGCAGTTCGGCTGGTAAGAAAACCAGCCGGATTTTACTGTGCACGACGGGTTTTTACTGTTCACTCTCTCACAAATTCCTCCAGATTCCTCCAAATTTCTTCCAGTGAATAGGGCTGTATTTGGGCAACTTTTGGTTGGGTGGGCTTAGCGTCTGTAATGCTCATCTCAACCAGTCCGAGCCATAATCTTGGGTTCATGAAACAACAAGAATCATAGGGTAGCACAAACACGTAGCTAGCCAATAAGATTTGTCCCATGGCAATGGCAGGCTGGCCGTGAAATTTTAATTTGAGATCGTACAAATTTAATATTTCTACTTGTGTTCGTTGAGCACTGACACTGAAATTTTAAATCAAGTGAGACTACTACCGATGTTTGAAATGGGGATTTTAATCTCGATGAGCATGGGGACTGGATCTTCAGCTGATCTTCAGCCTGTTCGCTTATTGGTTTCAGTCAGAGTTTATCAACCAACCAATAGTGTTTTCCTGTCACAACGAACCAGCACCAGCCGGGCTTATCAGCCCAGAAACCAACCAGCCAACATTGTTTTCCAAATTATAGTAAGTCGTGTTGATTTTTTAGGTAACATAGTTTTTGCTACTTAGATAAAAACTATGTTTGTAGAAAACCCATATACTTGACTTACAACTTGGAAGGTGGCAGTAGTAGTAGACTAGTAACAGATACTTCAGTTTTTATGTGTGCCAGCTACATCAGCGTCATGTGCACGGTTAGCTCATTTAGGCTAGCGTTTAGGATTTTATAATGGATCATGGATCGATTCTTCTTCTTGTTTTTCTGTAATAACTATGAGCAAAATTACCGACCCCCTTCATCAGTATATGCACACAGCATAAGAAAATGTTAAATTAATTCTCGCTACATAGAGGTTCAAGCTCAAGAAGAAAAAAGAACATACTCCCTCCATTCCAGATTCATCTGTAAATCCAAGGTGCGATGTCAAACTGGAGGCCTTCCTACGTGGATGAGGAGGTGCTGGCCGACTTCGCTGGGGGTGGCGCATTGGAGGGCTCCTACGCCGGGGGAAGTTGTTCCGCAACCCCGGGCCGACGAGGTCATGACCTTCCTCGCCTTCCATGAGCGCGGGCTTGGGTACCCCGTGCACTGGTTGCGGAACGAGTGGGGCCTGGAGTTGCGGCACCTCAAGCCGACTGGGGTATTGCACAGCGCCAGCTTCGTCACCATCTGCGAGGCCTTTCTCGGGATGGAGCCACACGTGGACCTCTTCCGGTGGGTCTTCAGTGGGTGAGCCCTGTCTGAGGGGAAGCTGCCCAGAATTGCGCTGGTTGGGGCATTCTCCTTGCAGAAGAAGCCGAAGCCATCGGCCCCCTACCCTGCGTACTCCCCCTATGACTCCAATCGGGGGTGGCACGATGAGTGGTTCTATATTAGGAACCCAGTGGAGGCGCTATTCCTGTCGTTCACCAGAAGAATGCCAGAGGAGGGAAAGCTGGTCATGGGGTCCTGCCGGTCGGTCAGAACAAGTTGGGGGTTATCGAGGCAGAGCTTCAAAAGCTTGTGCAGGATGGCCTTGATGGGTTGCGGGTCTTCCATACCTTCTTCCACCGTCAGGTCACCCCGTTGGTGGAGAGAAGGTGACCGATGTGGGAGTACCTCGGCCCGATGGATCTCGACTGCGCGTCATCGGAGGAACTGCCGAAAGATGAAGTTTGGAGTCGACTTGATTGGGTGCTGCAGCTGAGGGACAAAGACTCCCTTGAAGGGACGCCCGGACCACTGCACGCCTCGAAGCTGTCCAATTTGGTATGCCCCCCTCTTCTTTTCCCGTGACCTTTTCCTTCTTGCTCTTCTTTGTTTTAATTGATTTTGAGTTGCCTATTTCATAGGGACTCGCGAGTTACAAATCCCAGCTGCATCTTCCGAGGGGGCCGGAGGGCACAGCTCGGCAAGCTGCCCAGAACAAGGTGGTGCTTGCCAAGAAGAAGAAGAAAGCTGAGAAGGCCCGGAGGAGGTTCAAAAAAGAGAAGGAGATCAGTCGGCGGGTCCGGGGGTGAGAGCCGGAGTGACGTGGAGGCAGAGCTTGAGTCGGAGGAGCCCATGGAGATGGGTGGTCAGGTGAGTGTCTCTGAGGACGAAGGAGACAGGGGCACTGTCGTGACCTCGGTGGAGCACCATGAGCATACGGTCGCATCCGTCGGTGGCGGGCGTGATACGGAGACACGCGGCGACGTTCCTGAGTCAAGGAAGCGTGCCGCAAGTGAAGACACCACCATCAAATGAGAGGCGAAGCGGGCGTGGTCGCCGTGCCCTTCGGAGGCATTGTTGGCTCCGCACCCCCAGCTCCGAGTGTGGCAAAGCATGTCGGTCGGTCGGGGGAACGTGTTCGTTCCCCTATATCTTTGGGGTCAATGCGTGTGCACGACCCCCAACAGGGGAATGTCCCACCAGTTGCTCTGGTGGTTTCGCCGCAAGCTGGTGGCCACAACCATTCGTGGGCCTATCGGGGACCGGCTGGGTTGGCCCCTCCCTCGGCCGATGCGAGTGGGTGTGGGTTATGACCTGCGAGTCGTCCTCGTCCGGTCGGCTCGTTGTCAGCTGGTCGGGGCTTTAGGGCTCTACCGCTTTCGTCTAGGTAAGCATTCATGCTCCCTCCTATTCTCATAGCAGAATTTTTGAGTGTGACTAACCCGCGCTTGTTTGACAGCAGCCAGGGGCTGGGGGGACTAGGAGTCTCCCCACCTCCCATGCGAGAAGAGTGGAGACCCAGCCTACAGCGGGTCACAATGAGCGGCGGAGGAAGTAGGCTGGCGGTGACGCGACCTTCCTTACTAGGGGTTGCATCCTCCTGGCTAGTTGCGAGCACAGCGGCAGCAGCGGCGGCGGTGATGGCGGCGATCCCCGTGGTGACGGCGGAGGTTGGGTCGGAGGTGACCCTCGCGATCCCTCCCCCAACATCTACGCAGGAGGAGAGGAGGGAAACCGGGCTCCTTGCCTTGCCCGGTGGAGGAGCACACGGTTCGCCCTCCTGGTCAGAGGTAGAGGGGTCGGGAGGAGACGCGGCCAGGCCGGAGGTAGAACTTCTGCCAGCGAGCCATGGAGTCCAGGCGGTGGAGATCCCCTTCTTCGGCGAGGAAAACACTAGGGTGGAACCACCGGCCATCCCGCCGTCCTGGGAGCTGGTGATGATCCGGTAGTCGCATGATACTACGATGGCTCAATCTTCCAGTGGGTCAGAGGCGACCCACGAGATGGTGTGGCCTTGCCCCAGAGAGCTGAGAAAGGCCCAGTTCATCCTTCGTGACGAGGAGGAGGCGAAGCTCTAGCATTTGCTCGGGGAGAGAGGACTATCGATGGAGTCTGATCTCGCCCTTACCAAGGCGAGGCTCAAGGAGGCCTTGGAGAGGGTTAAGCTTGTCCATCAAGCGGTGACAGTTGACCTACCATGTGTTGTAGAGGTAAGTTCTCTGTGTTTTGGGTGTTATCCTTGACTCCTTGGCCTTTCAATGGTTGTCTTAGCATGCCTGCTTCTTGTCTCACAGGATCTGGAGATGATGTTGATCCGTAAGTCCTGATTTCTTTGAGAGGAGCACGGTCAAATGGAGCATGAAGCGACTGCGTCGTGGCGGGTTGACGAGCCCAGGCACCAGCTGGAGTCTATGCACCGTGACTCCCAAGACTGGGCGGTCGAGGTGACAGGAGCACGAGCAGCGGAGCTGCGTGCGATCAAGTGGGCAACTGCTGCCGAGCGAGAACTCGACATGGCGAAGGTCCACTTGGCGGAGACCAAGGCGGCGCTTCAGAAGTCCTTGGAGGCTCTGGAGGTGGAGCGGAAGTCCCGGTCGGATGTTGAACAAGAAGTGGTCGTGCTTCGGGGCCAGGTGCTTGGGGCAGAGGAGTTGAACGCTCGACTGCTCGAGAGGATGACCCGGCAAGAGGAAGGACTCTCCATCCTCGAAAGCGCCCACCATGGTATGTATCTGTTCCACCTTCGGTTGATGTCTTGGTTTTTCCTTTCCTTTGCTTCTAAACTTGTCGTCTTTTTTCTAGAACTGGGTGGAAAAATTGGCTATCTGCAGCAAGAGCTGGAGACGGCCAAAGCGGCGGTCGGTTGGGGCACGGAGGCGCTAGCCCGGTCCCTTGAGGAGCGACGCACTGTCGAGGGAGAGCTCGACCAGATTGGCAACGTCGCGTAGGTGGTCGTCTCTGAAGTGTTTGGGTCGGGACCGAG